GGGGCGGACTCCCCCCTGCCCCACCGAGATTTCCGCCACTGAGAGTGCCTAAGAGTTACACGCGTAAAAACGCGCAAGTTGTTACAGGTCTGCAAACAAGTTGTTACAAATCTGTCGACAAGTTGTGTTCGCACTCATGCTTGTTCCCAGTTGTTGGAACAAGTTTGGAACAAGTTGTTAACAACTTGTAACAAGCTTGATGGCATTATCAGATTTGTTACAAGGTTGTTCTAACAAGTCTGATACAGTCATGATATAACAAGGGTGTTACAAGGTTGACGACACAAGGTTTTAACAATATCGTTATTATCACGACTGTATTGGACTTGTTGGAACAACTTTGCAACAAATCTGATAATATCAACAAGGTTGTTACAAGTTGTTAACAGCTTGTTCCAAACTTGTTGACAACTTGGGACAAGCAGTGCGAACACAACTTGTTGACGGTTTGTTGACAGACTTGCTGCATACGCAAAAATCTCACATCTTGTAGCAAGTCTGCCAACAAGCCGTCAAGAAGTTGTGTTCGCACTGCTTGTCCCAAGTTGTCAACAAGTTTGGAACAAGCTGTTAGCATCTTGTAACAACCTTGTCGATACTATCAGACTTGTTGCAAGGTTGTTCCAACAAGTCTGATACAGTCATGATATAACAATATTGTTACAACCTTGTGTCGTCAACCCTGTAACATTCTTGTTGTATCATGACTGTATCAGACTTGTTAGAACAACCTTGTGACAAGTCTGATAATGCCATCAAGCTTGTTCCAAGTTGTTAACAGCTTGTTCCAAACTTGTTCCAACAACTGGGGACAAGCAGTGCGAACACAACTTGTCGACAGCTTGTGAACAGATTTGTTACAACATGTTTGCAGACAAGTAACAACTTGTGCATTTTTACGTGTGTTATGACTGATGAGAATTGATGATTCCCCTTATTACGTTTTCGTAGCGCTTTGCATTGTGGTTATAGTGATATCACTCATAAAGATAGTGGCCTCGAATGGAAATATTGAATGTTTTCCCGAATATTTTGCTGTTGGCTATCGCGCACCTGCCCTAGCTTTTTTTAAACGTTCTTGCACGGATCAGGACAAAAAATAAGCCATCTTGAATATCAGTGATACCACTATAACCACACTGCAAAGCGCTACGAAAACTACGTAATAAGGGGAATCTAATAGTTACTGAGAATTCAAGAGAATTACCTGTAGTTAATTAAAGTTGATGAGAGTGAACGGGAACTGATGATAGTGCATGCAGAAGTGTTTATGACCGCTCACTGATGATAATTCACGAGAGTTACTGAGAGTTTATAAGAGAGTTAACTAAAGTTAATTAGAGTTAATGAGAACGTATATATGAAAGTTTATGAGAGTGAACGGGAACTGATGATATAGTGCAGTGTAGAGTTTACGACTGATGAGAAAGAACGAGAGTTACTGAGTAGCACACGAGAGGTACTGCGAGTGGATGAAATTAAACTAAAGTTGAAGAAAGTTGATGTAAGAGCATCGAGTTGAGGCTTAAGCTGGACCAAACATAAAATATTGATGAGAATAGAGCATTTAAAATACCGCTAAACGTTCATTCCAAAGCTCAGCAGGGATGTGGCTAGTTTATTGTAGTAAAAATTAACATCAGAATACAGTTGCTACAACATGGCACCACATACCTGCTTCTATAGAGATTATAGTTGTTATTCTTCCGTCATAATATCTATGTGTCAGTTCAACACAGGGAAAGGTTTACTGAAGAAGAATTACCTCAAATCCTGGATTTTACACCTGAGGTAAAGTACAGATCTCTCTATATATGTATATAGGTTATAGTTTAGAGAGAGAACTTCTAAATGGTTCTTCGTCGTATATTTGTTATTGTCGCCAATAAGTCAGAACAGGTTATGCATGCCTTTTCATAATAAATTCATAATATAGTTCCCGAATCCATATATACAATGTTCCATATTTTCTTATATTTATTAACATGGGAGGTAGCTGTTAATACAGTCATGTCGAAATCTATGAAATAAAGCCGAAAAGCTCGACGTAATAGATATGCCTTATCTTTAAAAGATATCGTTCTTTTGGATCTTTGCGTCATTGACCTTGTCAAATTATACACACCAAGCTGAATAAACTCTATCTCTATCAGTTCTAAACTGGCCTCTTCATGTTCTCCCTAGAGATATACAGTAGGGTCCGAGTTGAAATTATAATCAGAAAACTATGTATTGCAGCTAGAATCCAACCTCGGTCACAAAAGTGAAAGGCGGGTGCAATGACCACCCACACATCCACAAATCGATAGATAACATAAAACGTAATTAATTTTAATCCAAAGGAAGTTCTATCGCAGACATTTGATATATTCAGAAAGTAGATAAGGACAACAACCAGTGATAAACCTTATAAGAGGATTCTATGATAACTTAATTCTAGGCCGGATCAAAAGATAAATATAACGCTTATATAGTTCAAATATAATATCAATATACATGTAGTATATACCGCTTGAAACAAATTAAGAACATATTTTTTTAGATCTGCAGATAGTCTATAGAGGTTAGTTTATTTACTCTTTCTCTTCCATGTTATATATTTGATAAAATGTTTTAATTGCGGTAAGATATCCAAGCCGGTTTAATTAAATTTGGGTTTTGTTATGTAAATGATAGTATAATTAATACACAGCGGTGTCGAAATGAATATGTAGTCAAACATGTATTTAATTAATTCTACATATCGTCTGCGGTACCTCCCTAGTCGCCTAAAATGAATTCCAGGGAATGATTAGTTGATTGTTATGCATTTTGCTCGTTTCCCCAACTATGCACTGATCTATATGTATATATCAAGCTGGAAATTTATGTGATCAACCAAAGCCGTAGAATATCAATTCTGCTCTCCTTCCCCCATTCTAAGCTATCAAACATAGTTATTTTTCCTCAACTTGGTCTACTTTGTAGCTCAGTTATAGTTTTAAAACGACGTACTATTTCGTAAAACTGATTTACTTATTTGCCATCTTAAATCTTCAAGTTATCTGGTTGAAGAACAGACGTAGTGATACATTATAATTCGTGGTTCCAGAGCTCAGTTGTGTTATCATCTGGGGCCGGTGTCCCATGCAGTTGATTTGGACCCCCGTAGATTTTGACCCCCGGTCCATATCCACTAGTAGATTTTGACCCCCGGGTCAGAATAATTCTGCATGCCCTGTAGGCCTGGTTCTAACAAACGGACACGTTTCTCGAGGAAAAAGTTAACTATTTCGCTGACCTCAGAATGACATTTCGTCAAAACGTTTTTCTTCAAGATTGGTTTAGAAACAAACTTGGAGTAGGGTTAGGTTAGGGTTAGGGTTGGTGTTTGGAATAGGGTTAGTGTTAGTAAAACCGTTGCTTTGTTACGTTTTGTCACTCAGTGAGGTCAGCGAAATAACCTCTTCCGTTTCTCGAACCATATTTCTCTAACTACATTTTACACGCATGCGTACTAAATCTACACTACAGTTTAAAGTATTGCGCAAGGCCTCTCTTAATCCTCGCCAAGAATTTCTATTAAATTCTAAATTATAATCCAATTTCCTACAATCCTATATATTTATGTAAATTTTCTATTTTTCACATGTTGAAGTGCATGATATTAGTTAGTCCTATTAAAATTTTTCCTTTACTTTCTTATTTACAGCCGACATTTATGCGAAAAAATGCCCACGCACGTGATATTTTTCTGAATCGTTTTCCAAGCTATATCATTACTATATTTCATTAGAGATGTTTTTCTCAGTTTTGATATTTTTGTCTTTAATTAATTCCCGCAAGTGACATTTATCAACAAAGGTGCAATTAAGATGTTTATTCGGTTTAATATTATAGTATTTGTTCACATGTGTCCACATATAAAAAAAGAACATCACGTTTGGTCTACAATTAACATTATAGGGCAAAACTGTTGATATAAATTGTTTTCTGACAGTCCCTTGCTAAAACAGTTTTTGTTACATAGCATGCCTTAATCGATTTAGTTACAATATATACATATACGTATATATAAACTTTGTCTTTGAAAAGTGTTTAAAATATTGATATTAATTAATAATTTACACGCAAGACACTTTGCGTGGAAGTGAAAGAGATGTGTGATGATTGAGATGTAGATATATGTTTGTTGAAGTCATGGTTCGTGGCTCCGAAAAGTTGCATTTCTTTTCCCATAGTTTAGAGAACAGAATAATTGCAAAAAGACACTTACTTAACTAGCTATACCAATTTTGTTAAACTATATACAATCTGATCAACATGGTCACGAGCCCGTAACTATAGGGTTTTAGATCTTTGGGGGGGGGAGGTCTGGGGGCATGCTCCCCAAGAAAATTTTTTATCTAATAAGGCTTATAGAAACGCTGGTAATGTATAAAAATAAAATAATTCAAAATTGTAATAATTATAGTTTTCGAATCAGACAACACAGTTGCATGTTCTAGAAATTAATATTGCTGCTTGCAATCTGATAAACAACGCATTTAAGTTTCGTTTACATACCCCAGTGACATCAATAGTGACAATATACGTCCCCCATTCTGTCAAAGCGAAATGTGAGCATGTAAACAGCCCCTTATAGTATAAGAAAGGTTTGAAGTGGAGAATTTGAGTACTGTCTTCGATTAAAATGACACGGTTTCACATGTCGATTTAACTG